TAAATAAGATAGAATTAAAATTTTATTTTGAAAAAATAATCTATTAATATTTATTTGATGTACCAATCTTTTTGCACCAGACTATATTAAGGATAATTTGGGATTTTGAGCAATGAGCTGTGCTTATAAGATACTGTGATAGAATAATATGAGATAAAGAGGAAAAAGGAAAACGTGGAAAAAGTATTTAAAGCGAGGATTATGAGTAAGGTACTGCCAGGGCTACGGAGCTCTAGAAAGTATTTGCGGTAGGGGGATGGCCTTATAATATTTAGGAAAGAATGAATATGCTGCCTGGAAAAAAGGTGGAAGAATTAGATATCAAAGAGAATACTTGAGTTTGAAAATTATAGTAAAGCCTGGAAAACAAAATCTGGTTTAATTCTTGCTTCAAGAATTCTTTCTTGGTCTTATAACTAACCACGCTTTCACTTAGCTCTGCTAAATTAACTGGAAGGTAGATGCCACAGTCACTTATCAAATATGCCAATAATTTTTTTCTTAATTCTTCTCGTGCTTCTTTAGCAACCGCAGCATAGCGCTCTTTCGTTGTTGGATTATCCACATAAATAAGACCATTGCATGAATTGATCAAATTCTGGGAAATTCATGCGGATAATTGTAGTATAGTTAACAATTGATTGTCGAAAATAACATTTTTGATTAAATTATATGCTTCGATCTCTCGTTGGCAAACTTGTCACTAATAACAAAAAACTTGATAAAGTCCATCATTCAAATAATCACAAGACTAAGCGAGGTATCACCAATTCCATAGTATCAATTACGCAATACTTAAACTTCAAATTCGCAGTTCCACGTAACGTCAACGCCGATTCAAAATTCCTCAGCTTAGGTTTCAGCTACACTTGACGAACTCTCTTTAAACACCGCTTAGGACATTAGCAAATGCTACTTTTCTTCTACTTATTTAGCTACTACCCATTTTTCAATGTATGTAAACTTTGCTTATTCGGGGATTTACGGTAATATATTTCTAACTTTTGTTTTGTCAAAATATTACAAGTTAATTGCCTTGTAAAATAGAAATTAAATATGAACGTTAGTCATTATTTTTATATGAATAGATTTTTTGGACAAGAAAAGAGAGGCTCTAAATAGATGAGAGATTAACTTTCAAATTCTTTGCAAGTTTTTGTAATGCTAAATGCTCAATACTAAAAGAGTACGTATATTGCCTCATACCTGCCTTTGTCTTTTGGTCTCGTTACTAAAAAAAGAAGAAAATTTAGTCAGATTATTTTACACGAGATTTACATGATCATATGCTTAATTTTCTAATTTTCCTGTCGGAAGATTTTCATCCTTAATTAACACAAAGTCTATACAATCAATAAACTTGAGACTGAAGCCACAACCTTGACAGTACATTTGGAAACATGGCGTCCTCTCCACTTCAGAAAACTTTTGATGCCACTTCTCGATTAACAATCAAAGAACAAACACCTGATGAGATGTATGGCATACCTGAGAATTCGCTCGAAATTGAAGTTCGAAATCCCCAAACTCATGGTACATCTTTATTTGAATTCTCAGTTCCCTCTGCTTAATATTTCACTTGAACTAAAAGCTATGTCTATACCTGTGGATATTACAGGGTTTGGTCGTAAAATGTATACAGACTATGAAATAGTGTGCAAAGTAAGTTTTAAATCAATTATTTGAAAGGTCATTCAAAGCAAAAGTTTTGAATGGTGATTGGAAAAGCTTTCAAGATTTAAATAAAATTTTCTTCTAATGTTTTATTTTTCTTAAACATTGAAAGACGAATATACCAGCTTTTAAGCTTAAATATTCTAAAGTCAGGAGACGATATAGTGATTTCGAATGGTTTCGAGATGTTCTCGAAAGGGAATCATCCAGAGTGAATATACCTCCTCTTCCTGGCAAAGTATTTACTAATCGTTTCTCAGATGAAGTTATTGAAGCTCGTCGAGAAGGGCTCGAGAGATTCTTACAAATGTGAGTGTTCGAAAATCATGATTATTAAGATTTAACTCGATTCTCATATTTTTTCAATTAAAAAACTATAGAGTTGCTGGCCATCCGCTTGTACAAACTGGAAGTAAAGTTCTTTCAGCGTTTATCCAAGATCCCAATTTCAGCCGGGAAAATTATAACTATTAAAGTTTTAAGTTTTACAATGTAAATTTTGGTTGTTTGTAAATTATGGTGTGCACAAGCCTTAAAGGCGTACTTGGGATTTTTATCGGTTTTTTGGGGTACCTTATGCTTTAGCTGGGAAACCGTTCTCTAACATTTATTTATTGTTTAGCTGTTATATATAATACATCAAAATCATTAACTCATCATTTTTTGATCATGTAAGTCTGCCTCGATTTTCTAAATAGATAGTTTCATTATTTATTGCAATTTTATTTATCCAGAAGAATAAAGTCATTTTTGTGATATCCAATAAGATGATGATTATAATGGAGGCTTTATTCCGAGGAGCAAAGAATGATATATATATATAGTAAGTCTATGATAAATAACTAACTAACTATAAGACGATCAGATTTAAGTCTTTAATAATGATTGTATAGTTGTCAGATACAACGGATAAGGTAAAATAATTTATAATTTTCGTTGATATACACGAATTATAGAAGTTTGAGGTGATTCCCAAAAAAAAATAAAACATCAAAATAAATAATATAAATATATGATGTGGGTTAGATTAACCACCGCCTTTATAAAATTAACTATAATATACAAAATTAATTATCTCAACAATATATAAACAATAATATACCAAAATTGAATAACAAAGAAATTGGTGAATTTAAACGCCCTGAACCACACGAGGCCATCGTTGGCGAATTCTTTCGAAAAGTTCAGGTTTTGTACGACGAAGTGCGTCAGGATCCTCAGCCAAAGCAACAAAAGTAGTTGTAACACCAGAATCAATAGCATCAGTCACAACAATCTAAAAAAAAAAGTAGTAACAAAAAGCATTAGTTCAAATAATAATAAGTTGTAATGAAGAATAAATGATCTAAAAGCTAATATTCTTACAGTCATCATCAATCCAAGCAGGAAACATATTAAGACGAGGAAAAGTGTGTTTTGTCCATTAATATTGAAATCTGGTTTAACAATAACCAAATAAGCGTAACCGAATAGACCGCAAAGGACACCAATGAAAATGGCACCCATAGTTAAAACATTTCCAATTAGATTGTCATTAATAACTGCTTCGATACCACGATCTTTTATTAGTCTCCAAGTATCTTTGGCAGCTGTACAATACGATTTACCATAAATGGCAACTATTTTGAGAGATAATAAGATTAGATAAAATAATTCTCTAGTATGTCGTTAGGATAATAATGAATAGATCTCACCTTGTACATAAGCGTAATGATTGAAATATTCAACGAGTCCTTCTATACATGCTAATAAATACTCGACACAACAGGCTAAGAATCCACAAGCTCCATCATCAGAATTAGCGATGGTGCGGAAAATAGCCTTCATTGTGTTCAGAGCTGCAATAATCAAACTCCCGAAACATATACTACCTAATGAAGTAGTACAAGCACGTTTAAGAGAGCTTAATGTGGGAGCAGAACCAGTTCCTTGTGGTGTGCCTTCGAGGAAATAATATGCTGCATAAGCACCGGCGTCAGTCACATGAACAATGGTTTTAATGATTTGACTTGTCCAATAGAAACTAAACAACAAGAACACCATAGCTACAATTATTGCTGGGCTCTTGCATCGGATATTTCCTGTTTGAGGATCTTTTTGACAATCCCGCGTATAAATCTTGTGATATCTGAAAAATCCAATTAGTACAAAAAAATAATAATGAAATAAAGGATTTAAGATAAAATTGATACATACACCCCGATAATAGTAAAAGCCCACCATATTGACCATCCCACTTGAAGAATCAAGCCTGCAAAACCCATAATTATTGTACCATAATACTTTTTCGTGATGCTTGTCACTGTTTCTAGCAAAATAGCTGCAAATGGAATTCTATCTCTCCAAGTCCATGCAGCAAAGAGATATATTACACCAAACACAGCAAATATCAACGCCTAAAATAGAAATCTGTTTAGTGTATGCTAAGTAAGATGAACAGATAAAATCAACGGAATCTACTAACTAAGACGTATTGTCTACTAAGGCCATAGATAACTGCGGCAATAAAATAAGTGGCAATTGATAACCATAAAGTGATTTTTATAAGAGGTTTTGGGAAACGTTGCATCAGCAGCATGTATATTAAGGCTAAGAAGAAGCCAAGCACCAAGGCAAGTACCAATAATACGATTGCTTTAGCATCCAAAGTAATGCCGCTATCACCAGTATTTATGCTTCGTTGACTAATACTTGTACTATTATGCTTATTATTTAATGTGCCACTATCAATAAGATCCTTTATGCCGACATAGCTTAAAGCAACGTAACCAGCAAACTGTACTAAATATAATACAAGTGCCCATAAATCTGTGTTGCAAAAAAATAAACTGAGATTTTAGTAAAACACATAAATTTAAATATAAAAAATGAATTTTAAATCAAAAACAATCCAAAATTAATTAATTATATTATTTTTTGGCTTTATAACATAAGTATAGTGGGGATTTTAAGCATCAGACCTATTCATCAGAGCAGGGACGAATTACTACAGACCTTGATATTTAGGCTTTGGTTCCCATTTTTCTGCTACTTGGTTAGTGGTTGGAGCTTGTTCATAGCTGGGTGGTGCATAAGTATTTCCTGGCACAGGTGCATATGTGTTAGAAACTGGTGGTGGATAATATTGTTGTTGAGGAGGCGGCGGATAATATTGTTGCTGAGGTGGTGGTGGATAATACTGGTTACTCATTGTATAGTTCTAAGTAACTAATAATTCGAATCCCTATATAACACTTTCTAAACAGCGTTGTTATAAATTTATAAATTGACAGAAGTTTTTTTTAATGTTCCTGTTATATGTTCATTCAGAACGAGTTAAATCAAGAATTTATGGTAAATGGTAAATATAAAAGCGTCTGGGGGCACAAAAGCCACATTCCTGTCACATTCGCAAGAAGTTTTACCTGATATAGTATTGATAAGCCACAATAATTTATAGGGAGCTTTTTTCAGTTTATTCATTGTTTTGTAACAAATCTAAACTTCAGCACGTGTTACTGTACAAATATATTACATAAAGATACATATAAAGAAATTACTAAAATTAAATTCTATTCGCTTTTTGCCGAACTTGTTTAGCTTTTTTTCTTCCTCCCCTATCAGCACCGATAGAATTTAAAATAGCACCATTATTAAGTTTTGTTATTCGAGCTTTTCCTAATTGTCGGCCGTACTTAAAAGCGCGATCAATTAACCCATTACGAGGTTTTTTGTCGGCTTTAAGATAATTATGATTTGTTCTAATATACCATCGATTAATGTCTTCCTCAGGAACATTAGTCCAATATGAAAGCAAGGTTACGTGATTTTTAGGCGGTTTTTCGAAATCGTTATCGAGTAGGTATTTGATGAGCCATAATGTAGTTTCAGGATCAATTCGATCGCGTGTTTTTTTGGATTTTTCGAACGCACAATTCAAATAAGCCTCAATATTACTGGCAGAAGAAGAAATATTTGGATATTGGGTTTCTATTACATTAGTTGAACTTCGTTGAGCTTTGTAATCTTGGAGGACTTGATTTGTTGTTTCGACTATTTCATTATGTTTGTAGAGAAGAAAATTTACGAAATTAACTTGCTTATTACACACTACTGCGATTTGGTCAACAATGCCGTTTGTAAATAAAAGATTATTCGAACATTCGTTGATCATTTTGTTGATTTCCTCAGTTAATAGTGAAAGCTTTGTTGCAATAGAGGTATCATCAATTGAGGAGTAAAAACTATCTCGAAAGCTGAATAGCTTTAATAAAACAGGATATTTTTGAAAGATATCATCCACGAGTTGGGAAATATGTGAGGATTGTGAGAAATTATCAAAATGTGAGAAATCAAAGCAGTCCTCAACTTGAATATGGTTCATTTTGCTTTCCAAAAGATTGAGAAATATATTAAAGTCTGATAAAAGGTTGTTATTGTTGTGTTGCGAATGTTGAAAGGTTTGCATATAAATAGTTTTAACGATCATTATTGTATGTATTGTTAAACAACCCTTTATCGTGCATATCGTTTATTGTCCTCTATTACGCATATTGATATCTTTTTTTATATAATGATAACAGACGAGTTTATTAAGGGATTCCCCTTTTATGGTGATATTGAGTCGACGAGGGGATAAATAAAGCCATATAAAAAGTTGATAGCAATAGGTACATGTATTTTAAAAAACCATGGAAGAACTTGAACGAAAAGCTAGTGTATTAAAAAAAATCTCCGGTCATTTATTTAACCTCAGCAATATATTCGAAATTAGTCCGAATGCAAACCAAATAGATTTTCTAAGACCTTTTCGTCAAAAACTTTTTGTACGCTATGGTTATAATCCAAACCTTCTTACCAATCAATCTCATTTCATTGATCTTTTTCGCGAACAACTGTCAAAAAAAGAATTTTCAATCAAAATCGATTTAACATCCGTTTTAGAAGAATGCCGAGAAAATTCTTATTTAAGATCCGCATTGAAAAGCCAGTACATCGAAGCAGTCAATAAAACACAAAGCCTAGCAACAGCTCAATGTCATAAATACAAAATTGCCTTCTTGCAAAAGTATTTTCTCTTGCCATCCGGGGATACAGCACATGTTCAACGAATACTTTTAAAAATAGAACAAAATTTTGAATCCTTACTGTTACAAACAATTAATAGTTTTCGGAATGCCATTCGTTTTCAATTTACCGAATTTTTACTTGTACAGCGCCCCATAAAGTCTCCAGTTACCGCCACTGGCCGCTTCACTTTTGAAACTACACAAATATTAGAGGAATATTTTGTAGAAAAGAGTGCTCGATTAAATAAAGATCAAAAACGTGAGCTAAGCTCTCAGACGGGTTTAACAGTAAAACAGATAGAAACATGGTTTAATAATCGAAGAAGTCGCTCACCTAAAGATCCGAATTGTGATGAAGATACTTTGGAATTTCTTAATAAAAAAATTGATTGGAAGGAAAAGTTTAATAATATTGAAAAGGGAATAATGGACTCGGATTGGAAATACCTAGATGATAATACTTCAACTCTACACGCCGATACTTCGAATCAATCAGAATATAATATCGTTTCTCAAGTCACGACTATTGACGTGATTTTATCATCATCATCGTCGCCGCCGTCATCACTCACAACAGCAACATCATCCATATCGTCTACAGCACCAGCATCACAGGTGTTATCATCGTCGTCTTCAACATCAAACAAAAGAAAAATAAGACCGCATATTTCAAAGGAAACACGGAAAAATACAACTGCGCCTTATTCAAAATCTTCATCTCCAAGAACAAAAAATCGCTCGATAAATCACAATGTAATTAGTCAAAACCTCAAAGATGGTAACTTTAATGCTTCAATTCACAGTAATACAATGATAAGCGACGCGACGCATGAACCTCCAATTGATTTTGCAATAGCAAATAATAATCCAATAATTGATACGTCTTTTATAAAGTCGAACAACTTGAAAGTGTCACATCGTCCAAATAAATACGCTGCCTGGAAAAAAGGTGGAAGAATTAGATATCAAAGAGAATACTTGAGTTTGAAAATTATAGTAAAGCCTGGAAAACAAAATCTGGTTTAATTCTTGCTTCAAGAATTCTTTCTTGGTCTTATAACTAACCACGCTTTCACTTAGCTCTGCTAAATTAACTGGAAGGTAGATGCCACAGTCACTTATCAAATATGCCAATAATTTTTTTCTTAATTCTTCTCGTGCTTCTTTAGCAACCGCAGCATAGCGCTCTTTCGTTGTTGGATTATCCACATAAATAAGACCATTGCATGAATTGATCAAATTCTGGGAAATTCATGCGGATAATTGTAGTATAGTTAACAATTGATTGTCGAAAATAACATTTTTGATTAAATTATATGCTTCGATCTCTCGTTGGCAAACTTGTCACTAATAACAAAAAACTTGATAAAGTCCATCATTCAAATAATCACAAGACTAAGCGAGGTATCACCAATTCCATAGTATCAATTACGCAATACTTAAACTTCAAATTCGCAGTTCCACGTAACGTCAACGCCGATTCAAAATTCCTCAGCTTAGGTTTCAGCTACACTTGACGAACTCTCTTTAAACACCGCTTAGGACATTAGCAAATGCTACTTTTCTTCTACTTATTTAGCTACTACCCATTTTTCAATGTATGTAAACTTTGCTTATTCGGGGATTTACGGTAATATATTTCTAACTTTTGTTTTGTCAAAATATTACAAGTTAATTGCCTTGTAAAATAGAAATTAAATATGAACGTTAGTCATTATTTTTATATGAATAGATTTTTTGGACAAGAAAAGAGAGGCTCTAAATAGATGAGAGATTAACTTTCAAATTCTTTGCAAGTTTTTGTAATGCTAAATGCTCAATACTAAAAGAGTACGTATATTGCCTCATACCTGCCTTTGTCTTTTGGTCTCGTTACTAAAAAAAGAAGAAAATTTAGTCAGATTATTTTACACGAGATTTACATGATCATATGCTTAATTTTCTAATTTTCCTGTCGGAAGATTTTCATCCTTAATTAACACAAAGTCTATACAATCAATAAACTTGAGACTGAAGCCACAACCTTGACAGTACATTTGGAAACATGGCGTCCTCTCCACTTCAGAAAACTTTTGATGCCACTTCTCGATTAACAATCAAAGAACAAACACCTGATGAGATGTATGGCATACCTGAGAATTCGCTCGAAATTGAAGTTCGAAATCCCCAAACTCATGGTACATCTTTATTTGAATTCTCAGTTCCCTCTGCTTAATATTTCACTTGAACTAAAAGCTATGTCTATACCTGTGGATATTACAGGGTTTGGTCGTAAAATGTATACAGACTATGAAATAGTGTGCAAAGTAAGTTTTAAATCAATTATTTGAAAGGTCATTCAAAGCAAAAGTTTTGAATGGTGATTGGAAAAGCTTTCAAGATTTAAATAAAATTTTCTTCTAATGTTTTATTTTTCTTAAACATTGAAAGACGAATATACCAGCTTTTAAGCTTAAATATTCTAAAGTCAGGAGACGATATAGTGATTTCGAATGGTTTCGAGATGTTCTCGAAAGGGAATCATCCAGAGTGAATATACCTCCTCTTCCTGGCAAAGTATTTACTAATCGTTTCTCAGATGAAGTTATTGAAGCTCGTCGAGAAGGGCTCGAGAGATTCTTACAAATGTGAGTGTTCGAAAATCATGATTATTAAGATTTAACTCGATTCTCATATTTTTTCAATTAAAAAACTATAGAGTTGCTGGCCATCCGCTTGTACAAACTGGAAGTAAAGTTCTTTCAGCGTTTATCCAAGATCCCAATTTCAGCCGGGAAAATTATAACTATTAAAGTTTTAAGTTTTACAATGTAAATTTTGGTTGTTTGTAAATTATGGTGTGCACAAGCCTTAAAGGCGTACTTGGGATTTTTATCGGTTTTTTGGGGTACCTTATGCTTTAGCTGGGAAACCGTTCTCTAACATTTATTTATTGTTTAGCTGTTATATATAATACATCAAAATCATTAACTCATCATTTTTTGATCATGTAAGTCTGCCTCGATTTTCTAAATAGATAGTTTCATTATTTATTGCAATTTTATTTATCCAGAAGAATAAAGTCATTTTTGTGATATCCAATAAGATGATGATTATAATGGAGGCTTTATTCCGAGGAGCAAAGAATGATATATATATATAGTAAGTCTATGATAAATAACTAACTAACTATAAGACGATCAGATTTAAGTCTTTAATAATGATTGTATAGTTGTCAGATACAACGGATAAGGTAAAATAATTTATAATTTTCGTTGATATACACGAATTATAGAAGTTTGAGGTGATTCCCAAAAAAAAATAAAACATCAAAATAAATAATATAAATATATGATGTGGGTTAGATTAACCACCGCCTTTATAAAATTAACTATAATATACAAAATTAATTATCTCAACAATATATAAACAATAATATACCAAAATTGAATAACAAAGAAATTGGTGAATTTAAACGCCCTGAACCACACGAGGCCATCGTTGGCGAATTCTTTCGAAAAGTTCAGGTTTTGTACGACGAAGTGCGTCAGGATCCTCAGCCAAAGCAACAAAAGTAGTTGTAACACCAGAATCAATAGCATCAGTCACAACAATCTAAAAAAAAAAGTAGTAACAAAAAGCATTAGTTCAAATAATAATAAGTTGTAATGAAGAATAAATGATCTAAAAGCTAATATTCTTACAGTCATCATCAATCCAAGCAGGAAACATATTAAGACGAGGAAAAGTGTGTTTTGTCCATTAATATTGAAATCTGGTTTAACAATAACCAAATAAGCGTAACCGAATAGACCGCAAAGGACACCAATGAAAATGGCACCCATAGTTAAAACATTTCCAATTAGATTGTCATTAATAACTGCTTCGATACCACGATCTTTTATTAGTCTCCAAGTATCTTTGGCAGCTGTACAATACGATTTACCATAAATGGCAACTATTTTGAGAGATAATAAGATTAGATAAAATAATTCTCTAGTATGTCGTTAGGATAATAATGAATAGATCTCACCTTGTACATAAGCGTAATGATTGAAATATTCAACGAGTCCTTCTATACATGCTAATAAATACTCGACACAACAGGCTAAGAATCCACAAGCTCCATCATCAGAATTAGCGATGGTGCGGAAAATAGCCTTCATTGTGTTCAGAGCTGCAATAATCAAACTCCCGAAACATATACTACCTAATGAAGTAGTACAAGCACGTTTAAGAGAGCTTAATGTGGGAGCAGAACCAGTTCCTTGTGGTGTGCCTTCGAGGAAATAATATGCTGCATAAGCACCGGCGTCAGTCACATGAACAATGGTTTTAATGATTTGACTTGTCCAATAGAAACTAAACAACAAGAACACCATAGCTACAATTATTGCTGGGCTCTTGCATCGGATATTTCCTGTTTGAGGATCTTTTTGACAATCCCGCGTATAAATCTTGTGATATCTGAAAAATCCAATTAGTACAAAAAAATAATAATGAAATAAAGGATTTAAGATAAAATTGATACATACACCCCGATAATAGTAAAAGCCCACCATATTGACCATCCCACTTGAAGAATCAAGCCTGCAAAACCCATAATTATTGTACCATAATACTTTTTCGTGATGCTTGTCACTGTTTCTAGCAAAATAGCTGCAAATGGAATTCTATCTCTCCAAGTCCATGCAGCAAAGAGATATATTACACCAAACACAGCAAATATCAACGCCTAAAATAGAAATCTGTTTAGTGTATGCTAAGTAAGATGAACAGATAAAATCAACGGAATCTACTAACTAAGACGTATTGTCTACTAAGGCCATAGATAACTGCGGCAATAAAATAAGTGGCAATTGATAACCATAAAGTGATTTTTATAAGAGGTTTTGGGAAACGTTGCATCAGCAGCATGTATATTAAGGCTAAGAAGAAGCCAAGCACCAAGGCAAGTACCAATAATACGATTGCTTTAGCATCCAAAGTAATGCCGCTATCACCAGTATTTATGCTTCGTTGACTAATACTTGTACTATTATGCTTATTATTTAATGTGCCACTATCAATAAGATCCTTTATGCCGACATAGCTTAAAGCAACGTAACCAGCAAACTGTACTAAATATAATACAAGTGCCCATAAATCTGTGTTGCAAAAAAATAAACTGAGATTTTAGTAAAACACATAAATTTAAATATAAAAAATGAATTTTAAATCAAAAACAATCCAAAATTAATTAATTATATTATTTTTTGGCTTTATAACATAAGTATAGTGGGGATTTTAAGCATCAGACCTATTCATCAGAGCAGGGACGAATTACTACAGACCTTGATATTTAGGCTTTGGTTCCCATTTTTCTGCTACTTGGTTAGTGGTTGGAGCTTGTTCATAGCTGGGTGGTGCATAAGTATTTCCTGGCACAGGTGCATATGTGTTAGAAACTGGTGGTGGATAATATTGTTGTTGAGGAGGCGGCGGATAATATTGTTGCTGAGGTGGTGGTGGATAATACTGGTTACTCATTGTATAGTTCTAAGTAACTAATAATTCGAATCCCTATATAACACTTTCTAAACAGCGTTGTTATAAATTTATAAATTGACAGAAGTTTTTTTTAATGTTCCTGTTATATGTTCATTCAGAACGAGTTAAATCAAGAATTTATGGTAAATGGTAAATATAAAAGCGTCTGGGGGCACAAAAGCCACATTCCTGTCACATTCGCAAGAAGTTTTACCTGATATAGTATTGATAAGCCACAATAATTTATAGGGAGCTTTTTTCAGTTTATTCATTGTTTTGTAACAAATCTAAACTTCAGCACGTGTTACTGTACAAATATATTACATAAAGATACATATAAAGAAATTACTAAAATTAAATTCTATTCGCTTTTTGCCGAACTTGTTTAGCTTTTTTTCTTCCTCCCCTATCAGCACCGATAGAATTTAAAATAGCACCATTATTAAGTTTTGTTATTCGAGCTTTTCCTAATTGTCGGCCGTACTTAAAAGCGCGATCAATTAACCCATTACGAGGTTTTTTGTCGGCTTTAAGATAATTATGATTTGTTCTAATATACCATCGATTAATGTCTTCCTCAGGAACATTAGTCCAATATGAAAGCAAGGTTACGTGATTTTTAGGCGGTTTTTCGAAATCGTTATCGAGTAGGTATTTGATGAGCCATAATGTAGTTTCAGGATCAATTCGATCGCGTGTTTTTTTGGATTTTTCGAACGCACAATTCAAATAAGCCTCAATATTACTGGCAGAAGAAGAAATATTTGGATATTGGGTTTCTATTACATTAGTTGAACTTCGTTGAGCTTTGTAATCTTGGAGGACTTGATTTGTTGTTTCGACTATTTCATTATGTTTGTAGAGAAGAAAATTTACGAAATTAACTTGCTTATTACACACTACTGCGATTTGGTCAACAATGCCGTTTGTAAATAAAAGATTATTCGAACATTCGTTGATCATTTTGTTGATTTCCTCAGTTAATAGTGAAAGCTTTGTTGCAATAGAGGTATCATCAATTGAGGAGTAAAAACTATCTCGAAAGCTGAATAGCTTTAATAAAACAGGATATTTTTGAAAGATATCATCCACGAGTTGGGAAATATGTGAGGATTGTGAGAAATTATCAAAATGTGAGAAATCAAAGCAGTCCTCAACTTGAATATGGTTCATTTTGCTTTCCAAAAGATTGAGAAATATATTAAAGTCTGATAAAAGGTTGTTATTGTTGTGTTGCGAATGTTGAAAGGTTTGCATATAAATAGTTTTAACGATCATTATTGTATGTATTGTTAAACAACCCTTTATCGTGCATATCGTTTATTGTCCTCTATTACGCATATTGATATCTTTTTTTATATAATGATAACAGACGAGTTTATTAAGGGATTCCCCTTTTATGGTGATATTGAGTCGACGAGGGGATAAATAAAGCCATATAAAAAGTTGATAGCAATAGGTACATGTATTTTAAAAAACCATGGAAGAACTTGAACGAAAAGCTAGTGTATTAAAAAAAATCTCCGGTCATTTATTTAACCTCAGCAATATATTCGAAATTAGTCCGAATGCAAACCAAATAGATTTTCTAAGACCTTTTCGTCAAAAACTTTTTGTACGCTATGGTTATAATCCAAACCTTCTTACCAATCAATCTCATTTCATTGATCTTTTTCGCGAACAACTGTCAAAAAAAGAATTTTCAATCAAAATCGATTTAACATCCGTTTTAGAAGAATGCCGAGAAAATTCTTATTTAAGATCCGCATTGAAAAGCCAGTACATCGAAGCAGTCAATAAAACACAAAGCCTAGCAACAGCTCAATGTCATAAATACAAAATTGCCTTCTTGCAAAAGTATTTTCTCTTGCCATCCGGGGATACAGCACATGTTCAACGAATACTTTTAAAAATAGAACAAAATTTTGAATCCTTACTGTTACAAACAATTAATAGTTTTCGGAATGCCATTCGTTTTCAATTTACCGAATTTTTACTTGTACAGCGCCCCATAAAGTCTCCAGTTACCGCCACTGGCCGCTTCACTTTTGAAACTACACAAATATTAGAGGAATATTTTGTAGAAAAGAGTGCTCGATTAAATAAAGATCAAAAACGTGAGCTAAGCTCTCAGACGGGTTTAACAGTAAAACAGATAGAAACATGGTTTAATAATCGAAGAAGTCGCTCACCTAAAGATCCGAATTGTGATGAAGATACTTTGGAATTTCTTAATAAAAAAATTGATTGGAAGGAAAAGTTTAATAATATTGAAAAGGGAATAATGGACTCGGATTGGAAATACCTAGATGATAATACTTCAACTCTACACGCCGATACTTCGAATCAATCAGAATATAATATCGTTTCTCAAGTCACGACTATTGACGTGATTTTATCATCATCATCGTCGCCGCCGTCATCACTCACAACAGCAACATCATCCATATCGTCTACAGCACCAGCATCACAGGTGTTATCATCGTCGTCTTCAACATCAAACAAAAGAAAAATAAGACCGCATATTTCAAAGGAAACACGGAAAAATACAACTGCGCCTTATTCAAAATCTTCATCTCCAAGAACAAAAAATCGCTCGATAAATCACAATGTAATTAGTCAAAACCTCAAAGATGGTAACTTTAATGCTTCAATTCACAGTAATACAATGATAAGCGACGCGACGCATGAACCTCCAATTGATTTTGCAATAGCAAATAATAATCCAATAATTGATACGTCTTTTATAAAGTCGAACAACTTGAAAGTGTCACATCGTCCAAATAAATACGCTGCCCGAACTCATGCTCAACCCTATGGTAAATCTCCAAACTATGCAAATAGGAGATTAACGGAAGGAATTCAGACTAATGGAAGAATGGAAGATGTGATTTTGACTCAGCCTATATTCTCAAATATAATTGAATATAGCTTCTCAAATGATCACAACGCTACCGAGAATCCCAGCACACCCTTTATCCTCGATAATGGACCTTTATTGCAAAATATTCCATTTTTACTCGATCAATTTGGTAATCCTTGTTACACTAATAATGATGGCGAGTTAATATACGCAAGCCTTTTAAACGATTCTACTTCGAACATTAACCTCGAACCAGCAAACATTTTTAATGCCACTCAAAATTCGTACTTCTTATCCTCCGAAACTTCTGAATTATCAGATTCAAGTTTGCCGTTGATTATTGATCAAAGGATCATTCCCCAATCATTAACGGAACATAATCTTCAGATACAAGATAACTTTCAATCTGCCGAACTTCAAAACTTAGAATTAAACAATGTTAATCCAAACATGAATCCACAATTTTTGACAAATCCAAACGTCATCCATGATGATGCTATTAATATTCCTTTGGAAAACTACATCGTTTATCAGGATATTACTTTACCTTTCTCACAGTATAATCAAACTTTTAACCAGTAATTCTATCATAAATGTCAACTTTTTTCTGTTAAATAATTATCGACGCTGGAACCATCACCGAGGGAAAGTGTTGTAACTTTATTCTGTACAAAATTGAGTTATCCATTTATCTTTATGTACATGTATATTATTAAATGTTTATAATTTCATCTTTTTCATTTCACGTAATAAATTGCAATGCATGAAACTATATTGTATTCTTTATTTGCTAGAATCTATTGAAATAAACGCATTATGTATAAAAAACGATTCTTTAAGCTAATTGATTAAAACAAAAATATCGGAAATTTGAAGAAAAAAATATTTGCTATTGTCGTTAGTCTTCCTTTTACGAAAGAACTACACCTGTAAATGATTCTTTCTTTAAATTTAAAATTAGTTTGATTAGTTTTTGATTGACTGGCCAATTTCTCTTATTATCGCTATATGCATATTTCATAATATAAATCAGGTTTTTGAATTAAATTTTGATTGTAAGTAATTCTGTTATCATTATATTTCATCAGTATCTACTACTGAATTCTCTTAATCATGAATTCATTATAAATTTACAAAAATATTAATTTATTTTTTTATAATTCTTTATATTCTAACAGAATTATAAATCATTGATCAGATCTATTAACATAGCAGCATTGAAATTATTTCTATTGAAAATTTATAATTTTATTAATAAATATTTTCTTTATTAGGTATTTGAAATTATTAAATTGAATATGATTTAACACAAAAATATAAAAATAAAAATTAATAATCACTTTTATAAAAGTTATATAAATATAGTTATCTTCAAATTTTTTTTAATAATTATATAATTAAAATTAATATAATACTTGAATTTTTACTAATATATACTTTTCTATATATAAAAGTTTTTACTTTTATAAATAAATATTTTTTATTTTAGCCCAAAAATAACTAAATTCTCTAGTTTGACATGAAGTCAATTAATTTTTTTTACTAATTTATAATTAATAAAATTAATTAATTTTATATATAATATGAACAAGCTTCTAATAAAAAATCTGAAAAAATATATATCAAACTAGATAATTTGAGCTAAAAATAAAAAATATTTATTAATAAAATTAAAACTTTGATATATAGAGAAAAATATATATTTTCTAATTACTTTAATAAAAATTATATCAATTATAATTATTATTATAAATTATTTTTAATACTATTTGAAATTATTATATATTAATAATATATAATATAATAAAATATTATAAATACTAAAATATATATTTTAATTTCATATAAAAGAATATTTCTTTATTTTAACTAAGTAAAGCTAAAACTTTTTCTTTAATATATATTTTTTAGATTACTCTGAAAGAATTATTTTAATTTTATATATATTCATTAATCTTTTTATACTAAAATTAATAATTTTATTAAATAAATTAAGTTTCTAATTTTTAATTTTTAAAAATTTTTCTGAAAAATTATTATAATTACAAAATTTTTTTAATTAAAAATAAAATTTAATTAAAAAATTATTATAATAACTTTATAATTAAAATTACTCTTTTAAAATAACTAAATTATAAGCTTTATTTTAATATAAAATAAAAATTATTTATTAATAAAATTATAAATTTTAGAATAAAGTAAAATTTTCAATTTCTTACATCTAATTTATAATTATAAGTATTATATATCTTATAATAATAGCCAAAAATAGTATAATAGAAAAATAATTTTATTAATAAATTGTAATCTTTTATTATAAATATATAGAATATAGTAAAATATATATTTATATCAAATATAAAGCCAAAATTTAAGAAGTTTTATTTTAATTTTAAAATTAAAAGATTTATTTTTTAAATATAAAATAAAATTAATATTATATAAATAAAACAGAATAATAATTTAGAATTATATAAATTATTAATATATAATGAACTTATTAATAATATGAATAATATTTTTAAAAGATATTTAGTAATTGATTAATAATATAAAATAATAAAAATAAATATTATAAGTAATAATTATAAATATAATATTATGCTAGCTTAATATATATGACAAGAAAAATAAGAATTTTAAAAAGAAATTATATTATAATTATAATAGTTTATTATAAGTTTTAAATTTACAAGTTCAAAAATAAGAAATTTATTATAAATGATTATCAAATAGATTTCTTATTTTGACTTTGTCCGCCCCGATCAAAATTAGAATAGGCGAATTAGAGTTTATATTTTTATTTGTGACATATCCCAATTGTCATGAGTACAACATGCCCATTTCGGGATTAAGTACAGTACGTACCGATACACATTGTGAGACATCACAACAATACATGTAATACATGTATATTCTCCTTTCTGAAACTAATTTAAAATAAAATGTTCTTACTTTTTAAAGACCTTCAAAAGAAGTTTCATGATATCAAAGATCCGGGTAGTGAAGATGAGCATTTAATAAAATGTATAATGGATTGGTGCACACAAAATGAAATCAGCCGTGAAAAAGCATTCAAAGAAATATGTGAAATAGCACCCGAACACACTGAATTCGCTTGTCTACTAGGCGTACTGTATCATTATGGTATCGGCACGGACGTCGATCTAGAAAAAATGATTTACTGGTACAAAATATCAGCAGAATCGGGAGACTCACTCGGACAAACGCAACTTGGATGGTGTTATTCGGAAGCATTTGGCATCGTGCGTGATACAAAACTGGCATTTTGTTGGAATCTAAGATCAGCCCAAGGCGGAAATTCTAGTGGCGCATATAATCTTGCCCATTGTTATCGATGGGGTGTTGGCACCGCAATTGACTACCAAAAATCTTTTTATTGGTATAAAATATCGGCTGAAGCGGGAATCGTGAGCTCCCAGTTTAGTTTGGGGAGATGTTACCGTTTTAGTTGGGGTGCCAATAAAGACTTGCATAAAGCTTTGTATTGGTATCGAAAATCTATTTGTAATGGATATGGCACTTGGTACTTCGAATTGGATGAGGCATTCAGTAATTCCATGTGGTGATGTAAGAGTTTTTAACACTTTATTGATTCGAGCCCTCAATTGTCAATGTCATTTTTGTAATAACTTTAAGAATTTAATGAAACATTAATCTTTAATATTTTTATATTATAAATATTATATGCCCAATTTTATTCATCAACTTTAAAAATTATGGGATACCTGAAATATCTCCCAATCATCCCAATAAAAGATCTCATTTTTCTGCCTCCTCAAATTCTCTTTATACGCCTTTCGAACTGTTTTCCCCGTCTTTTTCTCATTGTTTAAACTAACCCACAAATCGGGACCTATACCGAAACAAGGGCCATCAAAAGGATGATCATAAATCGCATATTCATGATATTTTTTCAATACCCTAATCAATCTAGCTCCTTTTAAACTTTTCCCACTCGAAAAAGAGAACAAGAATGCATCTTTCGATCCATGTGAAGAATTAAACCAGCTACGTTTCCAGCCTGAAAGCATTGGATTATATCCGCCGATTATTTCACTGCTGTTTTGTAGCTTTACAACTAAAATTGTTGGGCCGGCATTATCACATTTTTTATGAAATTCCTTTGAGGGGTTCGTTGCTGTCCCATTTAAGCTTGAACGATATAGCCGTCTGAATTTATAGCGAAGGTCCGAATTGAGTATTTTTGGGTGGCCTTCTATCCATGATGCAATTAGAGAAGCATGTTTTGGTTTTATGATAGAAGAGCCAATTGTTATTGGTGGAAGTCTCGGTGCTAAAAATTTGGTTTCCGGGTTTAATGATTTAAATATTCCACTTATATGATATTTTACTAAGTCACTGAAAAGACTTTTAGGCAAGATTGATTGAAACGGTTGGACATATTTCACAAAATCCACAGTTGATATTTCAAAGAATCGTATAAATGGCAGAAAATTATCGAGCGTTTCTTTAAAGGAATAAAGTTCCTTCTCGTCATCAAACAAAAATGCTTGGCTGGATACATCAAATAATTCAACTTGCAGACAATTAAAAAATATCCACTTAATCAAATTATTCCAAATATCAATTTCACGTATGTTCAAATCATTACATCTCATTATTTGCAAGAGTATCGATTTATCAAGTACTCTGAAACTTTGCGACTTAAACACCAGGCTTGCGTCATGCTCGATTACGTGTTCGAAACAGAAATGTGAAAGTTTGTGGCATGTAGTCCTTGGAATCACAGCATTTAATACTTCGGGCAATATTTGGTGATTCCAAAAGGTTTTATTGTTAATGAAGAATGATTGGATTTCTTTTAGTAATTCTTCAAGTAGCATTTCATCGGCTGCTATTAGCAAATCTAGACAGTCGATTGGCTTGTACATGTATTGGTGCAGATTTTTAATAACTAGCTTACTATCATAAAAATACCTACATTTACATTACATGTAATTTAGAATAATGCAACAATACAGAAATATACAAATGAGATATTAATAATTACCTTAACAATATTTCGAAGATTTGAGAAGAAATATTTGGTTTCTCAAAAAAATATTTATCATTCTTCATTATCGCCCATTTACTTGAAAGCGCTGCAGAAAAATACAATGAATGGTCTCGTAATAATGACATGCTTGTTTCAAATTGTCGTATTTCGCCAAACATTTTGCCTGCTTGAATTATCACAGTATTGGAATCTGTTCTATCAGCTTGTGTTGAAGTTCGATTCATTTTCGTATTTTGATAATTATTATTGTTGAAAAAAATTTGTCGTGTCGTTATGACTCTTTATAATATACATCTTTATATTAAATCACATGCAAACATATGATGACATGTGGCCGATTTTTACTTCACATTATCGTTTTTAGGGGTGACTTAGAAATGTTGTAAGTTTGCAGATCATTTGATTATACGTGGGAGGGGGGGGGGGGGAGAGGGGTAATGCTTACTAAGCGTGTTAATTTGTGAATACCGATAAAACGTGACATATTGTTGTCAATTTCATGGTTATACGGATTTATATTAAAATTGAGTTCATATTAAGGTACTCCCGTTAAGCCGAAGTAATCAGTGCAATAGAAGAAAATTTTAACAATTCATTTTATAAGGTCAAGATCGTAATAATTCATTGTATGTTTAAAAAATAATTTATTATTAAGCTTTAATAGACATTTGAATTTTTGACAAAAAAATATATAGTTACCAATCTTTGTTATTCTACACATTCTTTAATGTTTGGATCATTAAATAACACTAATATAAGCTAAATATGTCAAGCTTTTACACCTATATGAAATTCTTAGGTAAATACAAAAAACGTGAAATTGAATATGAATCAGATTTAGGTTTTTATGATCAATTTTTATTTCTTTCAGTGAAAAATGAGCGAAATAATTTTTATCTTCTTAATAAATCAGGAAATATTTTATGTTATGCTCAATATTTATGGGTTTTCAAATGTCTATAGTTTCTAAATAATAAAACATTTCTAGATCTCCCTATGTGAGACAAAAAGAATTTTCTAAAAATTATATTTTTTGATATTCGTTGTTTATCTTGGCCTCAACAATATATTTATGGTTTGACCGGCACTGAGAATGAACGTATTCGATTGCAATTTGTCCTTTTCCACAATCAATTCTACTAATTCAGACATGTCTCAAAACAACTTTTTGTGACCAAATTTATTTCTTCTCAAGAATCTCTCTTGATGTTTTCTTAATTCTGGCATAAAAGATTTGTGAGCTCAAATATGTCTCTATGCTTCCTTGAATCAAGTTTTCGCTCATTCTTCGTAATTTCTTGGTTATATTATATTATTAGCATCATTGCTGCTTGTTTTAGGGGTTGCTTCAAGAAAATGATCTTGACAATGTCATAATGTACAGTATTACGTAAGACTCGGAAATCAGTTGACATTGAATTGTATGGGAGGGTGATTTTCGACTATAATTCGAGCCATTCTCAATAGATACAAGAATTTAGAAGCACTTGATATTAGTGAAAATGTACTTGGCATTGTAGTAAAGATAATAATAATGCCTGGAAAACCTGACCTTTGTTGAATAGAAACGCTTAGTGATACATGTATTTTGAAATAACAATAAATACACAACCATATAAATATCTTTATCATTTTCATATTCTCTCTAACTTCATTTCATTTCATATGTTGGTATATATATTCTTATAAGTTCTGTATCTCAATAATTAGCAAATTCTATATACTTGATAAATTTCTGTTAATTTGATCTTTACAATTTCAAATGTGAAATCATTTGTATTTATAATCAATTAAAATTGAATATTTATATTTAACTTTTATTATTAAATAATTATTAATTTATATTAATTTAAAAGAGTCATCTTAATTAAGAAACTATATTTCTAATTTAGAATAATTAACTTGTTCAATTATACTGAATTTATTAATTTTATATAAGATATTTATAATATAAATCTTTTAATATCTTGAATTATTTATTTTAAGAGGAAATTTATATAAAATATTAAATTATTATTTAATAATATTATAATATTTTTAATATATTTAAAGCTAATATCTTTATTTTTAATTTCAATTTCTTTCTTAGTTAAGAAAATAAATTATGAATCTATAAATAATTTTAGTAAATAATTATATTAATTTAATAAATATAATTCAATTAGATTTTATTATATATCAAATATTAAATTTAATAATAATAATAATAATAATATTATTATTATTATTATTAATTAAAATTAATTCTTAAATCAGTTCAAAAATATTATTCAAATATTTATATAATTAAATTACTAATAAATTTTTGTTTAAATTATTTAAAAATTAATTTTAAATATAATTTTTTTAATTTTATAACTATTTATTTAATTATTTTTCTTTATATAATATTATAAGTTTTAATTATTTAATTAATATATAATAATAATTAAAAATAATATATCAAAAACTAAATTTATTAATAAAATATAGTAAAAATTTTCTTTTAATATTAAAATTAATAATTTTATTAAGAAATAATTTTTATTTTTATATTCAAATGAAATTTATTAATTATAATTTAATATATAAATTTTTTAGATTTTTTCTAAAAGAATTATTTTAAAGTTAATATAAAAATTTTTATTAATTAAAAATAAAATTTAATTAATAAACTTTTTATATTAATTTAAGAATTAAAATAATTCTTTTAAAAAATTTAAGAAAAATATATATTAAATTATAATTAATAAAATTTATTTTAATATAAAAATAGTATAATAAAATTAGAAAAAGCTTGAAAGTTAGTTATTTACTATAATACTATTATATAAAAATAAATAGATCTATAAATATTTAAAATAAATATAATAATAATTATTTATATTAAAAAAGTTATTAAAATAACTTAAGTAATAATTTATATTAATAAAACTAAATTAAGTAAAAAGTTCTTATAAAAAATATATAGAAGAATAATAAACCAAAAAAAATATATTATAATTATAAAAAGTTAGAATATTTTATAAAAAACTATTATTTAAAATCAAAAATCAAAGTTCACAAATATTAAAGATATTTAAGAAAAAACAATATATCAAAATAAAAAAATTAAATTTATCTATTCTAAAAATAATTATAAAAATTATTAAAATTTAATAGATAAATAAATAATAAATTAGTTTAAATATTACTAAATAGTAAAATATTAAGAAAATTTATTTAATAAAAACTTTATATATAAGAATAAAATTAAAATTTAAAAGTTTAATCTTATTATGATTAAGCTTGAAGATAATAAAAAATTGACTATTATTATTATAATAAAAATTAATAAATTAAATATATATTATATATATTTATCAGATAAAAATGTTAAATTAAATATTAATATTACAGTCCCCAGCAAAAGTAGAGGCATGTAACATTTTCATCTATATTTTAATAATGAAGTATCCAAAACTCATAAAAGTTTGTAGATATATTCCTTAGAATATTGTGAACAAGATTCTCTAATAGCGCAAGGCATGTTAGCTTAATATAATTTTGCGGAAGTTTGCGTCAAATGTGTTGAATTAGGTATCTACACAAAATAACTTTGAAAAAAAAATTATTTAAAAATATTTTTAATAAGTAATTTTAAAA